TGAAACTTTTTTAGGGTACACCAATGCAGAAGCAAAACCCACATAGGTCAGTGAATCATAAACCACAAAGCAGGGTTTGAAATGTAATCTCAAGAGACTTGCTGATCTACTTAGGTTCTCACTCAGGGCCACTCTAACAACACAGCAGCTGATTGATCCACTTTGTTGTGCCTGAGCTCCTTCATGTTCAATGTTTTGTGATGTATGTAAAATATAGTTCTAATTTCATGACCCATCCCTGCCACACCCTCAAAAGAGAGGGTTTGGGAATGACACCTGGTGGTCCTGGGCAAGCAAGCAGTAGGGAAGCATGCTTCTGGAACAGTAATCAGCACTGGCAGGGATTAAAGAGTGGTATGGCAACATTTACTAGGTCTGGGCTAGTATTCATTTTGGATTCAGATTCGGCCGATTTGGGGGACAGTGATTCGATTCGGTGATTTGAATCACTGTCCCGAATTGATTCAGACAAATCTGATTTGGAGATTCGGCTGCTGCCAATTTGGCTGAATATCCAAATTACACAGGCCACATCCCCTGCCCACTGTCCCAGTCCTGCCTGCTCCAGCTCCCGCTCTTTGAAAAAAAAAGCCCCCATTCACCAGCTGCTGCTAGGCGGGGTTGTGATCCCCACTGCTCCATGTTGCGTGGGGAGCTCTGCCAGGAGCCCCCTGACTCCCACCCACTCTCCCAGCCCCTCCTCCCCGCCCACCATGGCTGCCCCAGCTCCCGGCCCTTTTAAAAAAAGCAAAAAAAAAAAAAGCCATGACTTAGTAGCTCGTACCAGGTGTGGAGGGCGATCCCCGCTGCCCCACACTGCATGGGGGACTCTGTCATGAGCCCTGAGGCTGCTGCAGCAGCTGCTGAGTCAGGGGGTTGCTGCTTTTTGTTTGTTTTTTTTTAAAGGGCCGGGAGCTGGGGCTGGGCGGGGCAGCCACAGGGGGGCCTGGGAGAGTGGGCAGGGGTCAGGGGACTGGTGGTACAGCTCCCCATGGAGCATGGGGCAGTTGGGCGGCAGCAGGGATCACCCCCTCGCCTGGCAGCAGCCGGTGAGTGGTTTGTTTGTTTTTTTTTAAAGCACTGGAGCTGGGCTGGGTGGGGCAGGCGGCAGTCAGCAGGATTGGGGGAGTGGGCAGGGGATGGGGCCTGGCAGGGGTCCCCCCGTGGTCCAGACCCCCACCTTCCCCACCCCCTACTTACCAGCTCGGAGTCCAGGTCCAGCTCCCTGCTGCAGTGAGCAGGGACTGCCCGGATCGCCAAAGCTCTCCGAATCTTTTCCGAATCGATCGGAGAGCTTCGAATCGATTCTGACCTTTTAATTGGTTTCCTGATTCAATTTGTATTCAGAGTTTCTGCCACCAAATTGGGCTGAATCTCCTCCGAATCGAATCAGCACCCGAAGCTTCACACAGCCCTAACATTAACATCTGCCACCACAAATGAAAAGGGAAGATTCAAGTATGTCTAGCCCCAAGATGGAAAGGCAAGAGAAGGCAGGAAAGGCGGACATGAAGTAAGTATTAAAATGACATGGCACAGTACAGTCATAAATCTTTCCCTCTTGGCATATGAAGGTCAAGCAAGTATTCTGTGTATATGCAGGAGTCTGGAAGTGGTCTGGAAAATTAGATTTTACAAATTTACAGTATGTGCTAACTTTATTTGTTCCTTGTAATACGTTGCTTTCTGTTTCAGTAACATGCAAATCCAAGATTCTTCAGCTGTTAATTAAAAAAAAAATAGTCTGACATCAGCTTGCTAGGATGAGGCATTAAACCAAGGTCCTTTCAACCTTTCTCTGATAGGGTGTGCAGCTGGGAGTTAGGCTCATGACTCATTAAAAAAAAAAAGGGACACATTTTACTGTCTTCCTCAAAATTATTTCTCGTAGGAAATTAGGGCCTTCTGTCTAAAAGGATGCTTGAGCTTTGCTAGGTGCCATGGGAAGTTCCAGGGGGTGCAGTTGCCACCCGCCTTTGACTGTGCAGCACATGCGCTGTGAGTTCTGAGTTCAGTGACTTGGCAGCGTTGGTAAGGCCCTGGGACCCAGGAGCTAACTCTGTCATTGCTCAGCCTCTCGCCTTGCCTGCTGCTGAATTCGTAGCCCCACAGAGCTCACCACGCATGCACTTGTAATGTGTTTTACTATCATTCCTGTTATCCTATTACTGTATTCCTATCTTGCTGTTATTTGGCTAAGGAATCCATATGCAAAACTATATGGCTGCTGCTTCAGAGCCCTGCCTGAGAACATCTTCTATTGCCCTGTCATCCTACAGCTTCTATGCAGTGACCTTTCACTTGATGTTAGGAGGTATCAGGTGTGGGACAAAAAACACTTTCAGGGAGGCTGATTCTAAGAGTCAAAACACCCTGTTTTGTCATACTGTCAGGAATGCAGTTTGCTTCGGTGACTTACACCTTGATGCATAACACTCAAATTAAGCTTTAACTGAGTTGGGTTAAGAACATTTTTTCCATACGATAATGTTTCTCACACCTTCCTCCCAAGTGTCTCATGATGGCAATTGCAAAAGACAGCATCAAGCTTAGGTGGACCTCATTTGGTGTGGTAATTCATATCTTCTTTAACTTCTGGAGATGACAGCACATGTTAGTGAGAAGATGCTTAGAAGTGGCCCAAAGAGCTTTTATTCAGGGGGTTGTGTTTTTCCTGCATCAACAGTTGATGCTATTATGAATGTAAAAAATAGCTTACAGAGGTGTAGTGCCTCCTGATGTTCTTGGTGCTTATGATGCCATCAGGGCCTTCCCAGGTATGCTGAAGATGAGCCTTTTTTTTCAAACTGACCTGTTTTAAACTATGTTAATAGATAAGTTTTAAATTTGTGGGTACAGTCTGATTTGGGATTCTCTGAAAGCTGTTAGGTTCAAACATTCATTAGAGGAGCTATATCCTGTATCTCTAAGAAATAAATACACATTCTACATTTTTTCAATGGTACTGTTCTTTTTTAATTTGTTCTTTCTGAGTACAATACATATGAACATGTGGATATTTGATCTGTATAATTAAAACTGAAGGCTTTTCTAGTGTCTTCTTGTATTAAAAATTATAATGTGCCATAGTTGTAAGGGAAAAGACTTGATGAGTAAAATAAATCTTTGCCAGCTCAAACCTCTTTGATCATACTGAAGAAAAAGGTGTAATTTTGTTGTATACCATTTTAAAGCGTTGTTTGTTCTTATTCATATCCTAAATAGAATATGGGGTAATACCGTAGCTTGCTTTGTCTTTAGTACAATTGATATACGAAATCATGAGGTGGAATAAAGTGCTTTGCCATGATTGATTCTGAACTGTGGCAGTTACACTTACTTCACACATTTTCTTTGTCATCCATAAAGCAAGGCTCACTGATTTCAGCTTCACTTAATCTTAAATATAGATCTACTTGCTCTTTATAAGGATAGACTGCATTTCTGAAGTGATGTTCTGTTTCCTTACAAGATTCCAGAGCTACATCTTGTGGACTTCACATTAAATTCATCACAGTATGCTTAGGAGATCTGATTAATTTTTTGGATTAGTGCTCATAAGCACTCTCAGAATTAGGGTTTCATTATGGTAGGTATTGTATAAACACACATGCAGTGTCTGCCCTGAAAAATTTACACATAGGTTTAAGAGGAGGCATTATAGTTGATTGGGACTGGCAATGGGAAGGAATTGTTTCAGTGACACAATCATGGCTACACATAAACGAGGTGGGGCACAATTTGATGTTTCTGAGTAATTTGAATTTTTTTTGTAAAAGATTCTGTTATCTGTGACTGTCCCTTCATTTTGCCATTATTATGTGGCTAATTTCATGCAGGTGTCACAGAAGTGAGTCTTGAGGAGCTAATCGAACATTAGAACGAATTACTAGCAAAGGCATTTGTAATGATTTTAATGGTGTATTTTTACATTTATTCCTCACAATGGTTGTATCTACTTTACAAGCTTAACAGCATGTAATTAAGTTTTGGCAATCATGCAAAAGTGAGATATTTAAATATAGATGTAGTGAAATACTCCTACTCTCCCTCATACAATGGTTGAAAACAATGCAACATCTTAAGACTTCGTGGAGCCTACTTCTGATGAAATACCAGATCTGTAATATCAAGAGATTTTATTACTTGTTTTATGGGTGTTTTATGTGCTGGGTTTCACATCCACTGAAGACAATGGAAAAATTCATAGCGACTTTAATGAGCCCTGGGTTGAGCTTTCAATTCTTCAATATCTTTTTATCTTAAATATAATATCTTGCTTTTTTACATATTGCTAAAAGTAATCTGAAAGGAAGTGAGAGAATGAAAGATGTTTAAACAAAGTGAAGTAAAGAACGCATTAAATGAGCACACAAATTTGGCAGGAAAGTGTTTTCTAAAGAATTAACATTTCCTTAAAAAACAAAAAGTGTGAGGTTGAACTAGTTATAGATTAGGTGGCCTATTTTAAGCTTTTTCTTTGCCCACAGTTGCTTTCAGTAGAGCCTATCCTAACAAATGTGTATATGTGTTTAAATAACTCCCTTTCCCCTCCCTTACTTAAGTTGGAATTTGTCTGATTTGTACTTCTCACTTTAAATGTTAATGCATTTTGCTCTAGCAGATGGTAGTTTCTGTTATGGAGAAGTTAAATCTAGATTCATCCTAAGACCTGTGTTATTTTTTGTGTCTAAACTGAAGGTAACTCCTGTCATCTCTTCAGTAAATCTCTATTCATATTGTCTGCTGTAGACTCAAGCACTCTCTTATCTTACAGTATTTGTACCATCCCCTTTTTTCATAGATGACACTATTTTGCCATTTCCTACAGTGATTATTCTGATTCCCACGTAAATGGTGTATTGCATTTATGAACGCTAATACCTGCAAACTTGTCATTGTTTTGTAACAACCTGATAAGTCACAGTAGAGAGAAGGCTGATTCTTCTTGCCCTGAAACAATAATTAACATTTTTGTTTTGTTGATGCACTGTTGACAGAAATTCCTGAGGTACCAGCTGAAGAATTGGATGCTCTACAGAATTTCTGCACCATTAAGATAAGCCAGATCCATCATCAGTTGATCTGTGAGCAGTCTAACAGTTGCAAACACAAAGAGTTGCAGCATGGATTCACTTCAGAGAAGTCAGTGACAGGTGCCTTAAACTGTATTGTTCCTGATCAGCTAGTGAACAGAATCCACCTGAAAAATATCAGGGAGACAGTGAAACAGGTACTGAAACCAAAGACTAAATTTGCCTAGTTTTTTGGAGAGGACTGCAAAAGAAAAACTAATAAAGTGAGGTCTAAATCCTGCAAGCCTCACTTGTGCAGAACTCCCGCTGGCTTGAGTTTTGCCTGATTTTGCAGAATTTGCCTTTCTGATTTTTCTTGTTAAAATAACTCCTGTCAGTAAATGTTAGTAAAGAATTATATAAAAATTTCCAGCTGACATTATGCTAATTTTTCAGTGAGATACTATATATGACATGAGAGACATGTTGAGGGGATGGACAAATGCATCTTTTAACCATTTTAAAAAGGTGTAGGGATTACTGCTACTTAGAAGTATGCATCAGCTGTTATGATCTGATACAGCTGCTTGAGGTGGCTTGTCATCTCTACTGCAAGAGTGCCCTCAGCAATTAAGATACAAAGTGCCACTTTTTTTGTCAAGGGATCATCTGTGCCAGGGTGTATCCCAGCACAGCTGATCCCAATTAATTGGCAGGTACACACGTTGCCCAGGGTTGTTGTTTTACAGGGCTGGGTCCCTGCATCTTCTGGGTCTTCAGGGACCCAATCCTGTGTGACAACAGCCTGGTTGCCTGGTCCTGGGTCAGGGTGCATACCTGGAAACACAGCATGGGAAACGCCATGGGGTTTCTTTGCTCTGCAGCATGAAATGTGTGCCCTGAATCTTCTGCTGGGGAACTCCTAAGCTGGGCATCTGCAAGCACAGAGTAGAGAATCCCATGGAGCTCCCCTGTTCTGCAGCATAAAGGGAGATTCTGGGGCACACGTTTTCATGATGCAGAGCGAGGGACCCCCATGGGATTCCTTGCTCCACACTTGCCGATGTATGTCTGGGGTGAAGAGGGGCTGGGATTGGGGTTGAAACAGTGGCTGTGAAATGCCTGAGTTCCCTATCCTGCTCTATTGCCAAGAATAAGCATTCAGATACCTTTGCAGTGTCCCAGGACAAACTTACCACATTTTTTGTGGCAGCAGATTTTGGGCTTTGTTCTGGGATACCTGTGAGGGATGTCTGAACAGGTACTGCTCTGTTCTGGAACAAAGCAGTTTGTCCTGCCACAAACAGGACATCTGCTTCTGCCCTTAGTCATATTTAGACAAGGGAAATAGAACTGGGGCTGGACATCAAGGCACTTTCACAAAAATAGAAATGCGAATAGCTATGTAATATATTTGGGGCCAGATTCTACCCACTTGCGTCCCTAATGTATAAGAGTGGGGGGTTCCAAAAAGCTCCTATCAGGCGCATCTACACATGATGATACATCACTGTAGCAACGCACTGCAACAACGTAGCATCAATGGGCAAAAACAGTGATGATGCAGCTGTGTTGCTTTAGTGATGCGCTCCCTCAGTATAGCGCATCGCTACAGGGACATAGCAGCTAAAAATCGTGCCGCATAGCGTAGTACAAGCTGTTATTGCATCATCATTGAGTAATTCTGAAAGGAAGTACTAAATGACAGCGCAGTAACAACAGTGCCATAGGAGCACATGTAGATGCTTCCACCATGTACCTCTTCCCTGCTGTTTGGTGCAGTGACTGGTCACAGTTATGGTCCCTGCTTGCCACCTTCATTTTGTGTCTCTAGAGTATGTGAATGTGGTCTGTAGGAAAGTTTTTTTTCTCAAAAAGGAAACATCTTGCTGTGTAGATATTCACCTTTGGGTCACGTGGCCGTTGGCATATGTGACATGCCAGATAGCTTAGCTTGTAGTTAGAAAAACTGGCACCCAGTTTTCTCGGTTGAAAGGTAAGATCTATGGAGAGGCAGGAAAGGTATTTCTGTCTTCAGTAAGGGTTTATTCACTGCTGCTAAGAATAACACATTAATTAAATACCTTCTAAACTAAGGTTACAGTGAAAATTGTTGGGTTTTATTTGTCTGTCTCTTGCAAGTAAAACAATCAGTGTTTAAAAAACTTCTGGTAGTAAAAACATTAGGTACCTTATCTTTTTTTTCCTACTTCCTCCATTTTAATTTTTAACACTTGCCTAAAGTATAACATCTTCCTGATAGAATTTGGGTTGCATTAGCGTATTTGTTAGGATGTGTATGTATCATCTTAACACAGTTTGAAGAGCTTTTCTTTTCAACCAGCCCAGCGTTCTTTCCTGTAAGACACAAACTGAGACAACCAGTCCCCCACTTCTGGTGTGTGTGCGTGTGCGCACGCACGCGCGCGCGTGTGTGTGTGTGTGTGTGTAATCACAGAACTGTTTTTTATTCACCAATGATCCTTGAATTCTAACTTGAATATGCTGCTGTGGCAATCATCACCTACAGATGCCTTTACCCATAAATCTGGGTCTTGGCAAGTGCCTGTGCTTTTTTTTAAACTGGTACAGCATGTCTGCATCTGGAGCAATAATTCTGATAGAACCAAAAAAAAGGGTTTTGAATAGTAATGACAGTCATTTATTTTGCTTCAAACGCTATTACAGACATTTGGTTTAATTTACAATCATATAGCATGTACAGTTAATTGTTAACATATTCATCAGCCCAGCCTGTGCCAGGCAGGCTAGGAATAGTATTTTTAAGTCAGTTACCAGGCATTGGCTGCTTTAGTTTTTTTTTAATGTTTTGAAATTATAGCAAGCTACCTCCTTTATTCTATCAATGCTTAGTAAAAAAACCAAACAAACAAAAAACTCACCCCCACCCAAAAAAAATAAATAAAAAAAAGCTTACTAAATCTGTTAGTCTACCGGCCTGTCCTTTTTTTTTTTTTTGCTGTTATTGTTTCTACATGTATGAAACTGTCTAGAATTGTTACTCATTTAGTTCTGTACAAGTGAGATCAGACCAAAATTAGGTATGCTGTTATTTTCTGAAAAGTCTTCAAACTTTTATGGTAGATAAACCAACACAGGTATTTATAAATACTGTTCAGTGCATTGAAGGAAACTGCTTTTACAATTTGACACTAGTTTTAATTCAGAACTGAACATAAATATTTGAATTGATACTGCTCCAGAGTTCTTTTTGTCTTAAAAGTTGTAAAGATTATCTATTAAAAATGGAATATGAGGCCAGACATACACTAGCAGAGACTTTTAGGTACAGAAATACCAATATATAATAGCAAAGCATGCCCCACATAAATACAGGGAAAAGTGTCCATGGGGTAAATTTAACAAATCCACTGTGAGTTAAACAGGCTATGCCAGAAAAAGTTCAATGTTACCAGTATAATTGGGTGCCTATACATGAGCACTGAGACTGCTCCAGCATGTTGAAATTCCAGTGCATTAGAACAGACTTGATTAATCAAGTCTGCTAGAGTGTGGCAATTGCTGTGCTTCAGCAGCTTTCTGCGCCTCATGTATCAGTGTCCTCACAGTTAAAAGTGGCAGTGGAGGTGCTTGAATTAAAGCTCGTTCAATGAGCTTTAGTTCAAGTGCCCCCATTGCCATTTTTAAGCACAAGGATGCTGATACATGGGACATGGTAGTGCTTTAATTAGAGTGGCTCCAAGAGCCGCTCTAATTAAAATGCCACTCCCCTCCCCATCCCTCTCTGAGCCATGTAAAAGTAACCTTTGTGTCCTTACAATAAGCTTCAACTGGTACATGTAGGTCAAGATTCCAACTTCTGCTGCCAGCATAACTGGCAGCAGAAGTTGGAATCTTGACAGTGTAGACAGAATCTTGGTGTAGAATCTTGGTGTAGACAGCTTCTGTTTTAGACCAATTCAGCAACCGAAAGACAAAGCAGATATATTACAAACCAGTGATATGATGGCTGGAGAAAAAACACATTAACCTTAAATGAAACTAAGTTATTGATGCTGAAAAGGGTAGCACATGGGGAAAAGCAAATGAAGTTCAGTGTAAAAGTCATTTCAGCCTGGTTCATCAAAAGTATACTGTGAAAAAGATTAAGTAACTTACAACTGTCTTGATGTGCAAACCTTTGTCTCTAGAAGTTTTACATATACACATATGTGCTTGCATACGCACATACTTACTGTTTTTTAATGGTTGTGATCAACCTGCTAGGACAGATATTACTCATTATTTCAACTTTTCATCTTTCAGGTGACTGAAACAAAAGTACACCAGACTTCGCAGTGCCCTGATTGTCAGAAGAAAAAAGCTGAACTGGCCAAGGTTACCTTTCTCAGACAAAGAAAAACACTTATGGAGGGATGTTTGCTTCAAGAAAAGTTGGAAGAACAGATATATACCAAAGTGAGCAAAAGTTATTCAAAGAAATGCTATGGCACATTTTACATACACGCTGAAGTAGCTGGCGGGGGGGGGGGGGGGGGGGGGGGACACATTGACCCGAATGAAATGCAAGTCAGGATGGAATTTAACCCATGTTACTACAGCATACATGAGGCCACATCCTCACTTCATGCAGCTGAATCAGTGGCACGACTGATTTGCAATGGCTGAAAATGTGGCTTGTGATGTCCCAGACTTCCTTTTGAGCTCATCTAGATTTATTTCCCTCAATCTCTTTTCTAGTTGCTTAGCCAGGTACAAAGTGTTACATAATATGGTCATTGCCCCATGATGTTTCCTGCTTACATTTCCACAGACTTTCCTTACTTGCTTTCCAGCTGGTTGGCAAGGAATGAGGTAAACGGAGACTGCAACACTGCATGGATGCAGATGCAGCCTTATAATTTCAGAGCCTGTTCCTGGTACTCGTTCTTCACCACATCCCTATTATAGATCTGCTATTTGAATTTGAAAAAAGTGCTCAGATATCAGATGAGGGGAAAAAAACATTTTTTTTGTTATAGTTAAACTGAGATCAAGGTAGCAGCATCTGGTGGATAATAGATTTGGAATAGCAATGTTTGTCAGTACAAAATTCTCCTGTTAGATATGCATGGTTTCTCCCTGACTTCGTGGGTCCTCCCATGCCCTGAGGCCCTGTCCAAAACCAAAAGCTAGTCCTATAGTTGCTAATTTTGTAAATACTGTTTGTGTGGACATAGGGTTTGCTGCTCCCTACTGTTTCATTGTCAGGTTCCTAACAGTATGATGCAGTGAAGGAGAGTCTAATTTAATGAAGATTGGCAGGGACTCACAGAAAAAGAAAGAGTGGGTCTGCAGTGAGGTTTCTCCACCTGTCAGTGCTTCAGAACCCTCTTCCTCCCTCCTCCTCTCCCATATGTTTAAGACTATGTGTTTCTAGAAGTGTATGGCCTAGAAGATGGCTGGTGTGCAGCATCTCCTACATATCCAACAAGATTTCTTTTTGAAAGGTAATATTGACCTGACCAGAATTCTGTCCCGTGAATTGCCACTTTCATTCTAAGAAATGACTCTGGAGTTGGTTTCAGTGATATCATGTTTTGTTTGGTGGGTACCTAGGCAGGAAACAAAAGGCAGCCTGCCTCCACATCACTGCCTTAGCTACCACAGATTTCCTAAAGTCCATTGGTTGCTGTATAGTTGGTTTGCTTTCATTTCCTGCTATTTGTGAAGTGGGGCCATTCCCTAATTCTTCTCATGGAAAGCTCTGCAGGATATTGTGAACTGAGACTCACAGTTTTTTGACTCTTCATAGGAAGGATGATTTGGCCATTCAGATGGCCATCTTGTCCAAGTATGTAACAAACAGTAGGATTTTCCAAGATAAAATTTCTTATCACTTTCCTTTCATTTCAGGACTTGCTGACACTTATAGGAGAAATACACAAAAGTCTTCCGAAGCTTTCAGAGGACCCAAAGAACATATGGCAAAAACTGAAAGTGAAAGGTCAGAAAATGTAGGGTACAGTTGGGATGAAGACTAATCAAAGGCTGTAAGAGCTGAAAAAAGTGTGCTGCAGGCACTCATGTACCTAAAGCTGACTAATAAGGATTTGCTAGTGCTTGTGGTTAAATAGTCTGTAGGTGGAGCCAGATATACCCAACACAGTGGATTTTGGGTTATGATTGAACTCTGTGTCCTTCCTCAATGCAAATACTGAAATATTCTGTAACCCAGCCAAATGCATTTTTTAAATTTTGGAAGTCAACAATTTTTATTATTCTAACAAGCAATACGTTTTTTGTGTGGGTTTGCCTATGGGATATCAGAGCAGCTCACAGCTGCTTCCAACTGTAAGAGAAATAAATGGTTCTGTTTTTTGGGCAGGGAGCTACTATTATTGGGTTTCAGCTCAATCTTTGCCCGCTGCCTTCTGTTAAATTGAAAGTGAGAGCCCCAGGTGGAGTAGAGAAAGAGAAGGTTGCAAAGTAACTATAGAAGGAGTAAAATGAAACAGGTTATTTATAGAACTGAAATAATGAGAATATGAACTGAAATTAGTCAGTAACCCTGAGGATGCCAACAGGACAAGAAATGATAATAAATTAATCATAGAATCTGTCTGGAATAGGTGGTTAGGCTGAGAAACAGAACAAAATACAGAATAAAATGTCAATTAAATAATATTTTTGGTATCATTTGCTGAATGTGCTTTTGGATTTGCTGTCATTTTCCATTGATTCCAGAAAGTGAATGTCACTAAGATTGTCTCTGGGTAAATCTCTGATATGATGTAGGAAGTGCAAATAAAAAGGTTTGTGCAGGAGACCTCAGAGAGAAATGAAATCCTCTCCCTCATCCTAACCCAGAAGCAGGCATGTGGGAAGAATTACAGATACAGGAATCAATTCACCAGCAATAGCTCTCTGCACCACTCTTGCAAGGCACTTGTAGCTAATGGATCCATGTGGGTCATAGATTCGGTCTGTGCAGCCTCCATGCTTCTTCCATGTGTTCAGTGCATCTGGGTACTCTACAGCCCTAGGGAGCCTAGAAAGATTATCTTTTGTATATTAAATACATGCCTGAAGAAGGTCATTGCCTAAGAGGTCAGATGTTTGTTGAGCCATTAAAATGGCATTGCATTTTTTTTTTTCATTTTGGTTCAAGAAAATCTATTGATAGAGTTGATTTAGTGTTCTGCTTAAACAGTTTCCAAGTACACAGATCTTAAATATGTAGTACATTATACTACCTATAATATATACCTATAGTATACTATAGGTATGAAGCAGTGTATCTAGGGGTGCAAGGTGACCATGCTATTTTACAACTCACAAATCAACATTAAATCTAAAAGAGCATAAAAATAGAGGGAACAGCAAGTTCATTTACATTATCTCTTACCTTGTTGTCACAACCCAAGGGTGTGATTTTTGTTTTGTGAGTGCTTCGGCACTGCTAAATTGTTCCCGCTAAATTGCAGCTTCTTTGCACGGTGGAGTTTTCTGCTGCAGAGGAGAACCCCGGTGCAAAAGAATTCCCGCCACCAGTAGCTTTCTTTGCAGGGTGCATTTCTCTTTGTTGCAGCATAGAAATGCACGTTGCAAGGAGTTCCCACCATTCGTATTCAAATTTGTGCCCCACCATTGGCTAGTTCTAAATAATTCTTACGTGGCGACTAGTGATTGGCTTGCTAGCCGTATAAAAAGCTTGAGTGGTTTCCACCCAAGTTGGAGGACTCCATGAACACCAGGAGGAGGAGACTTCACGCTGTGTGAAGATCTCTAGGTGCTGCGGAGCCTATCGGACGCAGCGCATTTAAAGCAGGCAACAGGGGTCTGATCAGCCTCTAGCCTCTCCCCGTCGCCAAACGATTCCTCGACATATCCCTTTCCCTGTGCGCACAAGTTCCACGGAGCCTAGCAAAGTTCGTGTGAGTCTATTTTCGAGTACTTTCTTCGGTTGGCGCGATGGGCTCGCAGTTTAGAGCCTCCAACCGGATGGGCTAGAAGAATGTTCATGGGAAGGAACTCTAGTCCGCCTCTCTTCTTTTCTATCTGTAACTGCAACTCAAGCAAGTTTTCCTGCCTGCACCGCGACCATCTTCGTTCTCCGACCCAGCGTGCCCGGGCTGCTGGCCACACTCCGCGCGGAGCACAAAAAGGGCCCGGACCTCTCCTGGCCCGCACATGGCGATGGGGATGGGATCAGGAGAGAACCCGCTAGAGCTAGAATTAGTTAAGAACTGCCCGTGGCGCGATAACAAACGCTAAGTGAAAAGTTTTGAGGAGCTGGAGGCAGATATCGCTTACCACCAGGCGGGCGGAACGGGTGAGAGATTTGTCAGCAGACGCCTTTCGCTGAAGGGAGAAGAGGGAGCCTCCGAAGACGGAGCCCCGAGAGAGAGAGAAGTGTATTTGCTCCCTGCGGCGTTCGGGTGTATTATGAGCGACGAGCGGGTCCTGTTCAGGCCCCTCGATACTGTGTCCCTCACCAGAGTCAACCCGGCGGGCGCAGTGAACCCGACCCTCACCCGGGAGTGTGCCCAATGCTTACGATATGCTTGGGAAAGTGAAGAGCAGGTGCCAATCGACCGGTTCCCTGCCCTCATGGCGTCTAGATTAAGGGGTCGCGAGCTTCCATCCGAGCTCCGCGAAGATCTGGAGACGGAGGAACACGCCGCGGATGAGAGGGTGGCCCCGCGGTACGACAAGGGGGGAGA